ACAAAGGCAAGAGGAGTGCGACATTGATCTTGCCACACGTAGTAGTTATGGCACGAGAACGCTTGTGGCATTCACGGAGATGCTGACCACAGTGGAACGCTGCTTTTGGGCTCGGGGAAACAAGCACTGAGTGGTGGGATCACATCGTGATGCACGTCTGGGATGATGAGCAGTGGCTGCAGAACTTCCGGATGAGGAAAGCCACATTAATGGGACTGTGTGATGAGCTCGCTCCAGCCCTGCGGCGCAAGGACATGAAAATGAGAGCTGCCCTATCGTTGGAAAAGCGCATGGCAATTGCAATGTGGAAGCTGGCTACTCCAGACTGCTACCGATCAGTCGCTAACCAGTTTGGAGAGGAAAGTCAACCATTGGAGTCATGTTGACGGAAGTGTTCAGGGCCATTAATCGCATCCTGCTTCAAAAGACCATGACTCTGGGCAGCATGTGTGAGATTGTAGATGGCTTTGCAGAAATGGGCTTACCTAACTGCGGAGGGGCGATAGATGGCACGCACATTCCAATTCTGGCACCAGACCACCTAGCCACCGAGTACATTAAGCTCAAGGGGTATTTCTCAATGGTTCTCCAGGTGCTTGTGGATCACCGTGGGCATTTCACAGACATGAACACAGGCTGGTCCAGAAAGGTGTGTGACGGACGCATCTTTCAGAACATTGGCCTGTTCAGGAAGCTGCAAGCTGGGACCTTCTTCCTGGACCCGAAGATCATCATAGGGGAAGTCTTGACAAAGCCCTGGTTGGGATGATTTAGTTGGGAATTGGTCCTGCTTTGAGCAGGTGGTTGGACTAGATGACCTCTTGAGGTCCCTTCCAACCCTGATATTCTATGATTCTATAAGTCGAAATGCCGATTGTGATCCTGGGAGACCCTGCCTACCCCTTAATGCCGTGGCTTATGAAGCCATACACTGGGCAACTTGACAGCAGCAAGGAGCGGTTCAACAACAGGCTGAGCAAGTGCAGAATGACTGTGGAGTGTGCATTTGGCCGTTTAAAAGCCCGCTGGTGATGCCTGTATGGGAAGCTGGATAATGACCAATGACAATATTCCTATGCTTATAGCCGCGTGCTGTACGCTCCATAACATTTGTGAAAGGAAGGGTGAAAGCTTCACTCAGGGCTGGACCACAGAAGCTTGATGCCTGGAAGCTGAGTTTGGACAGCCGGAGACCAGGGCTATTAAAGGGGCACAGCATGGGACCATAAGGATCAGGGATAATTTGAGGCAGCAATTTGAAGCTGAAAGCCAATAATATTTGTTGCTATGCTCAGGATTGCAGTGCTTGTAATGCTAGGAGGTGATGCACATGATGCAAGAAGGGGACTTAACCTAATTGCATGTTGCTTTGCAGTGCTCTTTTTGCTTTCACTTAATAGACTAAAGACTGCTTTCAAACAAACACAATTATTTTATTGAAAGACAACCAGAGGAGAGAGTCAAACGAAAAAATTCATCAGCAGGGAGGGGGAGGGGTAATGGAAGGTCTCAAGAGGAGGAGAGGTCCCAGGACAACTACAGATTTGTGTATGTCCAGGAATCATATCCACCACCTCCTTCGGAGTACGATGCAGCAGGTGCTGTACTTCAGCAGAGCCAAACTGCAGAGGGATGGGTGTTGAGTGCAGTGGGTAGTGGGAGTCCACGCTGCTGGACTGTGAGGAGGGAGGAGTGGAATGCTGCGGGTAGAGAGTGGAGCCAGGAGATTGATAAGAGTGTGGTGGTGGTGTGGAGGGGGCGCATGGGAAAGAGTTTTGCAACAGTGGCTGCAGGCGCGGAGTTGTTCGGTTTGAAGAGCTAGTATCGCCTGGAGTGTGTCCGCTTGGTGCTCCATAACTGTTAAGAGCCGCTCCGTGGCTTCTTTCTGGTGTGCCGCATTCTCCTTTCGTTCCCTCTTCTTGCTGTCCCACCACTCCTTCTTCAATTCCTTTTTCTCAGCGGTGGAGTGCATCATAACCTCATGCATAAAATCCGCCTTAGTTCTTCTTGGACACTTCCTAATTCTTTGCAACCGTGCTGCCGCTGATAACAAAGAGGGAGGCTGGGCTCCCAAGGTCATCTCTGTGAAGTTTAAATGCAACCTTTTACAGAAGCAACACAGACAACACTGTTTCAGTGCTTTAAAACACAGCCAGTATTCACACACCTGACTGTCACTAACTGGCTGACCCAAGCAAGCACACACAAGTTACAAGACCCCCTAAATGGTGAGTAGCCGCAGGGGCAGGGCAAATCATTGTTCCCGGACCCTGCTGTACACTGGGCATGTGGCTCTTGGGCACTTGGGGAGAGCCAGCACTGTGGGGGGGCCTGATGATCATTCCTGTCCCCACACTTTCCACAGGAGGTGATCATTATGGAAGATATCTCGCTGCTGAGGGTTAGCGGGGAATCAAGGGAGGGTCTTCTCCAATCCTGCGGCTTCCACCCTGGCCCCTATGCGGTTCACCTGTGTGCAGCAATGGTTCTTCTCACCCCCCTCCCCCCCCCCGGTACCGGCACAGTGGCGCAGGAAAGTTACCGTTAATGGGGAAGAAACAAAGCAGCTTTGTCGAGGAATGTGTGGGAGCTGATTGCCCAGTGTCTCCACAGTTTCCTGGAGATCTGAGGGAGATTCCCGCGAAGTGAGGGAGGGTATTAACAGCCTGTTCCGCCGCTCAAACTAGGCATGAAGTGGGAGACAAGCCTGCTTTCTGCAACCCTCCTGCCCCCAACAACTTCCCAAATCAGATCCACTTACCAGGGGCCTCCTCTCCTGTTTGCGCTTTGTCAAGATCCGACTGCTGTGACTGGCGAGGCTCTTCTGGGGTAGAAAAGAACTCCTGACTGCATGTGTCTCTGGCCTCCGAGTCATCCTCTGCCTCTGGTTCCCCCTCCCTCTCTTCATCCCCCTCCTCCTGGCTCGTCCACTCTCGACTGGCACATGAGCCAACGAAGTATCCACAGCGGACTTTGCAGTGGAGGTGGGGTTACCACCGAGTATTGTGTCCAACTCTTTGTAGAACCAGCAGCTCGTGGGCGCAGTACCGGAGCAGCAGTTTGCTTCCCGCCCCTTGTGGTAGGCATTCCGCAGCTCCTTCACTTTGACCCTGCACTGCAATGTGTCCCGGTCGTGGCCCTTTCCTATCATACATCTAGAAATCTGTCCAGAGGTATCATAATTCTGACGGCTGGAGCGCAGCTGTGACTGCACTGCCTCCATTCCCCAAATGCCGATGAGGTCCAGTAGCTCGGCATCAGGGCCGGCTTTAGGCCGATTCAGCCGATTCGGCTGAATTGGGCCTCGCGCCA